TTATAACTAAAGTTTTCTTTCAACGGAAGACTTCACTTCCTCTATTTACTTTGAATCTTCTATTATATTTTATTTATTAAATTTCTTCAGAAAAGTGTTCTATCAAATCTAGTATACATAAGATGATTACAGTACTAAAGCAAAAACGAACTGATGAGACAGTCTCATAAAGCGATGAATCACTAATTTTTCCAATGATTGATATTTTAGTGACTTTTGCAATAAAATATTATGATCTGTAGAAGGCTAAGATTTTATGTTGAAACAACTCACTAAAATAATCATCACTCAAAAAAAAAGAAAGAAAAATCTTCTAGATTTTCTGTAGTCTGAATGAGATAAGATATATCTTAACAGCAATTTATCACTAGGCGAAATTGTTTCGTGAATATGTAGTTGTTTTTTTCTATTAGACTCTACAAATAGATTCTTTCTATTCTTACTCGTTTGTTAAATAATACATAGTGAAGGTCTTGTTACGTAAGAACGAATAATTTTTATATATTAACTGTAGAAAATCTGACAACAACTCAAAATATATCTTAATTAACAAGGAAACTTTCTCGAGATGTCAAATCACTCTCCGACTGGGACGATATTTATTTGATGAGTAATAGAAAAGTCTAGAATGATTTGATTTTTGCGAGTCTTTGTTCTTGAAATCGATATTCGACTTTAAATTTTGTACGAACAAAATTCTTAATGAGATTAGTTAATAAGTTTAAAGTCGAAAACCGATTTTTCATGTGATCTGAGGTTATCTCAAGAGTACAGGGCCCGCAAAAATTAAACCATTCTAGACTTTTCTATTACTCATAAAATGAATATTGTCTCGATTGAAAAGTGATTTGGCACTTCGAAAAAGTTCCCTGGTAAGAAATGTCTAATAGAGTCTTTTTGTCGTCCTATTCAAAACTTTATAAATCCTATCGTCTTTCTCTTGTTACTAGGGACTCGATTATTGTCACAGTATGGGCATCATGCATCGTGATGTAAAAGTAAGATATTCTTTTTTTTTTTCTAGTTTCATAAATAAATATTTTTCTTTAGCCTCACAATGTGATGATTGATCATGAAAATCGAAAAGTAAAAAAAAATACTCTACTTTTTTTATTAATATGAAATTATGTTAAATAAATATAATTTAGTTACGATTAATTGATTGGGGCTTAGCTGAATTCTATCATCCAAATCAAGAATATAATGTTCGAGTAGCATCGCGTTATTTTAAAGGACCTGAATTACTTGTTGATTATCAATATTATGATTATTCACTTGATATGTGGAGTTTAGGTTGTATGTTGGCTAGTATGATATTTCGTAAAGAACCATTTTTCCATGGACATGATAATTATGATCAAGTTGGTTTATCTTTTTTTAATCTATGGAAAAAAAAAATAATAAATTATATTTCTTTTTGTTATTTAAATAGCTTGTTCGAATTGCTAAAGTACTTGGTACTGATGAACTTTATGAATATCTTGAAAAATATCAAATTGAACTTGATCCACGTTTTAATGAAATTCTTGGACGGTAAAAAGAAAAGCAAAAAAACATTTTTTTTTTAATTTGATTTATTTTTAATGATTTTAAAGACATTCACGAAAACGATGGGAACGATTTGTTCATTCAGAAAATCAACATCTTGTTAGTCAAGAAGCACTTGATTTCTTAGATAAACTTCTCCGTTATGATCATAATGATCGTTTAACAGCTAAAGAAGCTATGGATCATCCATATTTTTGTATGATTCAAAAAAATTTTAATTTCAAATTTAATTTGTTTTTTTTTTTCTTTTATTTAGATCCTATTGTTCGTGATCAAGGTCGTCCAATAAATACAACTTCTCAAGTTATACTCTCCAATAATGGTATATAATATCTATTTTTTTTTAATGTTTTATCAAATTTTTTTGATTATTTTCAGCTGGTGCCTCTATATCTTCAATTAATTCTTCGTCGCCGCTTAATGTGAACAGTAGCGTATCGACGATTAATCAGTGAACAAAAAAAAAACATCCATCATGACTATTATTTCATACTGTTCTACAAGACAATCTTTATTGATTGTCTTAATTGTTCTGCTTCTTCTTTTATTTTGTAGCAGTGTGAATATTTACAGAGAAATATCAAACCTAACTTTATCTATGCAGGATAATGGGAATATGACATATGCCATATGAAAATAATTTGTTCATCTATGTTATATATATATTTTTTCTTCTTTCAACGATCGATCGTATGGATCTTCTGTGTTTGTTCTTCTTTCTATAGTTTAAATGTTACAAACAAAAAAAAAAAGCATTTTTTTTTCTTTTCGTTAAATATGCACCATAAAAAAATCCCAACTAAACAAGAAATCTCGTGATTGTCTCAATTCTTTGTAGATTTTCTTATTCTTTTTGAAAAATGTCCAATGATCAAGAACAACTGGAACAACCACCACCAGATTTTGGTCATGATGATGATGATAACAATACTACTAATACGAAAAATGATGATTCAATGTATGTATCAGCTATGTCACCAGCAACAGTTGACATATCATTAAATGGTGAAGATGATGATGAAAATCCATTTGGTGAACCATCGACAACAAGAGAAAAAACACCAACGAATACAACAAATACTGTTGAATCATATGTTGATAATGAAAAGACTTTATTTCAACCGGATAAAGCAACGCTCGAAATGGATGAAGATGATAAAGATTTATTTGGATCAGAAAATACAAGCTCTAATGAACCACCAGTAGCTGCTGCACCTCCATCACCTACTGTTGTACCGGAAAGACAACTATCAACACCGGTAAGAAAGGAGACATCATATTTTTCAATTAATTCAAATTTTAATTTATCACAGCCATCAACACCACTAAAACAGGAGACTTCATTGTATCCAAATGTGAATACAGTACAACCTGTACAATCAAATACAAAATATGAAAGTCAGATTTCATCATCAACACCAACGCCGAAGAGTGTTTTAAGTGAATCAACAACAGAAAGTAAACCAGTACGAAAACGTTCGCAAGAACATACTATTGAAATTACTGTTAGTGATCCTACGAAAGTTGGAGAAGTGAGTTTAATTATTTCTCTCTCTCTCTTTCTTTCGATTTTGTTCATGTTCTATTTCTCTAGGGTATGTCATCATATATGACATATCGCATAACAACAAAAACAACATTACCAATGTTTAAAAAACCAGAATTTTCAGTTCAACGACGTTTTAGTGATTTTCTTGGTTTACATGCTAAACTTGTTAATAAACATTCACATGTTGGTATTATAGTTCCATCACCTCCAGAAAAAGATTCATTATCAATGGCAAAAGTTAAAATATCTAAAGATGAATCTATACCAACAGATTTTATTGATCGACGTCGTGCATTATTAGAACGTTATTTAAATCGTTTAGTACGACATGAAAAATTACTTGAAGATTCTGATGTACGAGATTTTATTGAAATGCCTAATGAATTACCTAAATCAACAAATACACAAGCATTAAGTGGTGCTGGTGTTTTACGTGCATTAACAACTATATCAAATCAAGTTACAAAAATAACAACAAAAAAAACTGAACAAGATCAATGGTTTGAAGAAAAACATGTATTTGTCGATGATTTACATAAACATTTAAAACATTTATATAATCAATTTAATACATTATTTTCACAACGTAAAGAAGCTGGACATGCATTGAAAAATTTCCACCTATCTCTTAATCATTTAGCTACAACTGAAGAACATCCATTATTATCGAGTGCATTAATAGAATTAGCTAATCTTAAAGAAAAATTAGATCAAGTTCATAATGAACAAGCTTTCAAAGAATATTCAATATTAACAGAATTGATTAAAGAATATGTTTCTTTATTAGAAATGGTTCAATTAGCATTTCATGAACGTATTAAAGTACATCAACAATGGTTACATGCTGAAGATACATTGAAAAAGAAACGTGAAACAAAAACAAAATTAGAACAATCCCCAAAAAGTGCTGATAAATTACCCCAAGCTGAAATGGAAATACGTGATTGGGAAGGTAAAGTTGTTCGTGGTAAAGAAGATTTTGAAAATATATCAACAACAATTAAACAAGAAATGGATGTATTTGATCAAACACGTATTGATGATTTTAAAGTAGCAATTGATCATTATTTAAATGAATTATTAGAACAACAAAATAAAGTTTTACAAATTTGGGAAGCTTATTTACCTGAAGCAAATAAAATTAATGTGTGATTTAATTGTTTTATTTTTTTTTCTTCCAAATGATAAAATGTGATTATTTTTATTTATTTTTTTTTTATTGTTTGTTTTATTTTTTTTTAGTGCAATCTTTTTCATACATTTTTACTTTAATATACTCGAGCTATATAATGTTGCAATTTTTAATGAATGATTATTTTTTAAATGATTTTCTTTTAAAAAAAAAAGTAATTATTTTTGTTTTGATTGATTTTATTTTGTATTTTATTATTTAAAAAAATATATGAAAATGATGGTTTAATTTGTAGATATATTTGATATATTTATGGATATTATATAAGTAATTTTTCGATTTCAACAATATTCTGTTTCTAATATTATTCATTGTAAATTAGGAAATATTCTCGATCAAGTACATTTTAAACAAATAATAAATGTATTTGTTCCACCATCAATGGTTTACATAATTGCTGATGATCCAGTAATACATGAATGCTGTACATAAGATAGTCTACTTCCATTATTAATGTGGATACGACAAGGATAAACGTATTCAACATCATATATTGGTATATATATATATATTGTTGAAAGTATTAGGATGATAATCATGGTTGTTGCTGAAAAATTATGTAAATAGATATTTTTTAATTTTGATCTAATTGTTATATGTGATGAAACTATTATTGTACAAATACCAAATAATGGATGAAAGTAAATTTACAAGCAAAAATGTTGACAGAGTGAAGACCAAATTTTTTTTTAATATTTGATTATTTAATAAATCAATGTTATTTCATTATTTTGATATTTTTAGGTTTGATTGTAAAGATTTTTGCTTTTTGTTTATTGATCTCTTTAGACAATTTTTTATTGTATATATATATTTTTTTTTGTATATAAGTATTGTTATAATAGTACAAATATAGTTAATTATTAATAAGAAAAAAATCTTGTTTGTTTTTGTAAGAAGATAAAAAGTAAGAAATTATTTTTTTTTGTGTAAGAAATGTAAAAATAAAAGGATATTCAATGTTGATAAAATCCTATTCTTTAGACAATATGAATCAATTAGTTGAACAGAGTTTATCAAATTTAGTTCAAGAATTAACTACATCTGGTTCAAAAATATTAAATGAAGAAAAAATAAAACAACTTAAACAGATTTGCAAGTAAGTCGATTAAACAGATCATTCATGTTATATAAGCTGAATGCGAGTTTTGACAAGACTACAAATAATAGGTTAAAGAATGAAAAAAAAAGCTGTTAGCACAATTCCTACAGGATTAAAATGTGAAATACGATGTAGCTTTTATTGCTGATCATAATGAGAACACATGTCTTCACCATCCTATTGCCTAATCCTCCAGAAATGCAATAAGGAAATAATTCATATATTATAGCGAGACGTTATTGATATACGGTCTTTGATTATATATTCATAATGTCTGTCGAGTCCGTCTCTCATCGCTGGTAACGTTTCCATGGTAATATCTGTCATAGTCTGTGAGGAAGAAGTACACATTTCTATCCTATGTACTTCAACACTCCTTTTAGATCATGTCTCACAATAAATATGATCCATATTTATGATAATATCTTGAAAGTTTTAGTTTCAAACTAGATTTCCTTGTGAAGGTATTCAGTAGTCGAGAAACTCGAGTTTTAGATCTTTGATGTAATATACATTTTAAAGAAATGCTAAATCGTGTCATGACAGTGGCATTATTCATTACTTTTGGTAGAGATTTTACGAAAGATTTTCTTGGATATTGAATTGAAGAAAGGTGGACATTGAGACGAATCATTTTTCAATTATCCCATTGGTTTCTTACTAAAAAGGATTTTCAACAGACAGATAATCATCTCAACGAATAAACAAACTGCTTAGGGTTGACCAAAAATTCTAAGTCCGGTGTTTAAAGAACCTTGTCGAGTAAGGTAACCTATTGAGAAATGAAAAACTAAATATACCATATTGTAGAGCTTTTTGAGGTGCATCGAATCGTCTATAGTAAATCCTGTTTTCATAAGACTTTGAAGGAACTAGAGTCAATTTACTGATAGATGACTACACACCCAAGCATGATAAGTTACTGGATATTGTGGTCCTTGGTATTAGTTGAAAGTATTTGTAAAATTTTTTTTTTCACATACGATTTTGTAGAGTTTTTGACGGGCTACACTCGCATATACGCAGCATCTCCAGTCATCTTGTCAGTGGAGGTATGGGTGGGTGTGTAGTTGCCTATCAGTAAATTGACTCTAGTTCCTTCAAAGTCTTATGAAAACAGAACTTACTATATACCATTCAACGCGCCTCAAAAAGTTCTACAACATGATATATTTGGTTTTTCATTTGTCAGTAGGTTGTCTTATCCCGCAAGGTTCGTTAAACACCGGGCTTGCAACTTTTGGTTAACTCTAAGTATTTAGCCTTCTATCAATCTCATTGAGTCCAACAAAATAATACATTGGCACATAAGTTCTGAGAGAATTTTTTGTGCTGTAAGCAAGTTTGAGACTTTATATCTCGTGATTGGAAAGTGATAGAGGTCTGAAAAGTGCAGATAGAAGTCATAGAGATTTATCTACATTAAAAATTTCAGATCTCTATCGCTTTCCAATCACGAAATATAAAGTCTCAAATTTGCTTACAGCACAAAAAAACCTCCAGAACTTATGTGTCTATGTAATATAAACTAAATCATACATTTCTTTTTATTAGACATTATAATTGATTAAGATGAAATCTCTTTCTTTGTTTAATAAAAATGTTTATACTAAAAATTTGATAAATTTTTGATCAAACATGTTTGAATTGTCTCAGACATATCTCTACGTTGCAGCGCTGCAGGATAGTTCCGATTTCCAAAAAATTTCTTTTGCTCCATCCCGCGAGATATTTGAAAATGAAATAGCAGGGAAGATGTTTCAAAACTACTATCGCGGCAACGACGCGGTAATCGTGACTCTTCTAGGACTTCGACACAGCAGCTGCGATAAACATTTTTGGACTGTAGTTTAAGTTTCTCACTTTAATTTTTTATTCACAGACAAACTGATGTCAATGTTGAATATTGTTATCGTTTGTTAATTGCTCAACTTGATAAATATCATTCAGAAATTCGTTATTCAACAGTTCAAATAATTGATCAACTTTTTAATCGTTCTCATCATTTTCGAACACTTTTACTTGATGATTTTAATTATCTGATTGATAAATGTCTTGGTAATTTCTCACAAATAAATAAGTTCGTCTTGTTTTTTTTTGATTAATTAAATATTCAGGATTAAATGTTGATAATCAATTACCTCCACCAAATCAAACAGCTAAATTATTAAAACAATTTACAGCAATGTGTATTAAAAAATGGCATGAAAAATTTGGTACAACTTATAAACTACTTGATATTGGTTATAATTATTTAAAAAATTGTAAATTTCTAAATTTTGATAACGTTGATGAACCAGTTGGTATTACAGCTCAATTACAACGTGAACAAAATCAAGCTAATCAAATTCGTCTAACACAAAAACTTCAAAATGTTACACAAGAATTAAATGGTTTGTTTCAAATTTTTATTTGAAAAAAAAAAATAATTCTTTTATTTATTTATCATTCATAGAAACATCAAATGAAATTTATTCTTGTATCGAACAAGCAGAAAATTGTCTTAATTTACTTGTATCTAATAATGAGAAAATATCGATTCCGACAAGATCTGTAGAACCAATCGAAGAAATTGATAATGATGATGATGATGATGATGATGACGATGATGATAATGACGATGATTTTATAGATGTTCCACTTGTATCAACAAAGAATAATGATCAAGAACTTCTTCAAGTACTTGGTCTAGGGACAGCAGGAAAATTAAATATTACAATTAATGTTAATGATAGACCAAAATCATCTGTATTTAATGTAGAAATAACAGATGATAATCGTACAGTAGTTGAAAATCTTCATGATCTTTATCGACAATTAGATGATGTTTATTTAAATAAAATTCAAACATGGATGAATATTTTTATTAAAGTTCAACAAAATTCTAATGAACAACAAACAACAGCTGTTATAAAAAAAGCAATTGATTTAAAAAATTCAATTCAATCCTGTTTAAAAATGATTGAAAATTATCATTTAGCACCAAAACGAACTGTAGTTACACAAAAGCCAGGTCTATTGAAAATTCATCAATATATAGTGGCTTCTAAAATTATACGACTAGGTTTATTTTCAATTTTTTTCTGCTGTCGAAAACACGAAGAACAATCGAAATCATGATTTCAGTAGAGAATTTTATTTTTTTAAACATAAAAATACTAGCTAATTTTTCGAGGATAGACTCTCTGAAAAATCAAAATCCAAGTTTTTCAGGTTCCAAAATTTGCAATCATAATTCTGTCTTAGTTATTCAGAAGGATGTAGCAAACAGTTCTCTACAAAATGAAATGCTCTTCAGCTCTCTACAGCATTTTTTCATCAAGATACATGAAATTTACGGGAGACACAAAAATTGTGTTGCCATATGAAATGACAGAAAAACCAACTTTTGTGCCTTCCGTAAAGGTGATGTGTCTTTATTTTTCGAAGAAAACAACTAGTGTAAGTTTTGCGGCTATTCATTTTTCTTGAAATTTAAGTTGCTGGATCAATATTCTAAATGACACAGTTTCGAATTTTTACATAGATATACGATTATATGATACATATCAAGAATGATGTTTTGATTTCCTATAATACAAAAAGCAGGAACTAATTAAGTTCTAACTTTTGGAAATAATCAATATCAGCATTTCTGAGTAAATCAAAATATATAATAAATTGTTAAGACCTGCTGTAAATATAACGAATGTGTATGACAAGCATAGTTTTCCATTAAATCAACGGCTAGACTAATGATAATAAATCATGAAAATGCAATAAAAACAAAATTTCTGTTTGAATTGTAGAAATAAAAAACCGTAGCATTTGCTGACTATCGATTTTTAGGGATTTTATACTTTGTGTATTTTGTATTAGTATAATAAAGCTAAGTAGGACATATGAATTCTACATTTCGACTACAAAGCAGTTGCGCTAACAAGCTTTTCTTAGCATTTATGGCAGCGAAAAAAATTGAAAAGAAACTTGGTCGAATAATTTTAGGAGCGACTATATATATATGCGTGTGTGTAAAATATATTTGAAATATTTTAGCTCCAACGCCTAAAGCTGAAGCTGTGCCTAAAAGTCCACGTATCGAATCGGTATGTATTTTTTTCTTGGATCGATATTACTAGCAGCCTCACTTGTTGTTACCGAACATTAGCATGTAATAAGAAACTGAATCGTAGAAGAAACAAACACATCTCAAGATTTTTGAGGCATAATATTTCATATTTCCTAACAGACATTAGTCTTTATATGATT